GGGGACACCTCGGGGTGCCACATCCTGTCACCGTGGAGGGGACAGCTCTGAGCTCAGCGCTGCAGAGCCCGACCCAAAAGGGGCCGGGCCGGGCCRGGTCCTGTCCCTGCTCAGCCTCCCTTCCCCTGCAGTTCTCCAGCGGCAGCCGCAGAGCTCGGGAAGCGGCGGGATCGGGATTGGGAATGTTGGAGACACCAACGGCAGCCGGGAGAGCCTCCTGAGGGAGCTGAGGGAAGCTCTGTGCCCGCCACGCTCACCCGGTAACGGCCCCGAGGCGTCTCCGCTCCCAAAGATTTCCCGAAATCTCGGGGCACTCCCGGAGCGGAGCCCCGAGGGCGGATCAGGGGGTCCCCGGGGACTCGGTGGGGACTCGGTGGGGACTCGGTGACCTGAGCCGGCTCTGATCCCGTTTTCCAGGGGCTGAAGGATGCAGGACCTGCCCCGTGGGGTGGATGCTGGGCAGTACCAAATGCTACTGGGTCTCCGGGGAACTCAGATCATGGAACGAGAGCCGGGAGGACTGCGGGAATCGGGAGGCAGAGCTGCTGCAGCCGCGGGATCGGGATGAGCTGGTGAGGGAATGGTGGGGTCAGGGGGGTGGGATGGACCCGGGAATGGTGAGGGGGTTCCCAAAATCCCGGGATCGGGATGAGCTGGTGAGGGAATGGTGGAAGGGGGAGAGGTGGGATGGATCCGGGGTTGGCAACACCCCGGGAATGGTGAGGGGGTTCCCAAAATCTCGGGATCGGGATGAGCTGGTGAGGGAATGGTGGGAGGGGGAGAGGTGGGATGGACCCGGGACTGGGGTACCCCGGGAATGGCGAGGGGGTTCCCAAAATCTCGGGATTGGGATGAGCTGGTGAGGGAATGGTGGAAGGGGGAGAGGTGGGATGGACCCGGGGTTGGCAACACCCCGGGAATGGTGAGGGGGTTCCCAAAATCCCAGGATCGGGATGAGCTGGTGAGGGAATGGTGGAAGGGGGAGAGGTGGGATGGATCCGGGGCTGGGAACACTCTGGGAATGGTGAGAGGGTCCCCAAAATCCCGGGATCCGTCCCCACCCCATGGCCAAGTCCTCCCAAGTGCCCGTGGGGACACGGGTGGGGCTCAGTCCCGGGATGAGAACGGAGCCCATTCTGGGGTGACCAAAACCGCGATTTCACTGCTCCTTGCCCAGGAACTCCTCAACGAAACCCTGCAGAAACCCAGGACCTACTTCTGGATCGGGCTCTGGGTGCCCGCGGCCAGGACGGGCTGGACGTGGCTGAACGGATCCAGCCTGGACCGGACCCGGTGAGCGCTGCGGAGGGGCTGGGGCAGGGCTGGGGGAACCAAGGGACCAGGGGGTGACCTGGGCTCCTTCCTGCACCCGCAGATTCCCGATGGACTCTATGGAGACACATGGAAAATGTGGGACAATCACAGGGAACAGAATCACCTCCGAGAGCTGCACCGCGGAGCTGCGGTGGATCTGCCAGAAAGAATCCACCAAACTCTGACTCGGGGCCGGGAGAGAGGATGGGGGGCGACGTGGGAACCAACGGGGGAGGATGTGGGAGCCGGTGCTGCCGTCACCTCACCACAACCCCGGCACAAATGCCAGTTCCGGGCTCTGCTCTCTGCTGTGTTCGAACCACTTTACGAGCAGAGTAAAACCCCCTCAAATTGTGTTTCCCTGGCTGTAAAGTTCCCCGGGGCTTTCTATAAACATTTCTACACCGTTCCTCCTGACTCTTTCTCTCGAATCCACCCCAAGGCATCAATCACAGAGGGGGCGGCCCCGGGGCTCTCCTGAGCTCGATCCGCTCCGGCCCGCGGAGCTCCCGCGGCCCCTGACGGAGGAATCGCCCGCCCGGAGCTCCTTTATGAACCCTCCACTTTTACCCACCGCCGCCACAAAACAGCGCAGAGTCTCCATGGCCGGAGAACTCCCCCGGGCCGGGCTCCCTCTTGTCCTAAAAAAAAAAAAAACAAAGGGAAAAAACTCCTGCGAAATTGCCACAAATGTCCCCAAACAGCGAAAGAGCCCCCGGGATGATGCTCATGGCTGTCTTACCAGACGGGCTGCAGCCGCGGGAGGGAGCCCGGTCCCATCAAACTGCTGTCGGGAGTCCATCCTGCTCCGAGCGCGCAGTTCAGACAGATAGAAAGTGAATCCAAATTTTTCGGCGATTTCCACAATTTCCTTTTTTTTTTTTTTTTTTCCTTGACATCGCTCCCTTTTTCATCCCACAGAGCTGGAAAGCGAAATCCCCCGCTGTCCCTCGACCATCCCCGCTACTCCAGCCTTGTCCCTTTTCCTCTCCCCTTTGGTTTGCCTCAGGTTCTCCCACCTTCTCCCCTGACAGTTTGGAGGAAGGAGATTTCACCCACGGGCACCACGTCCCTCCTCTTGCTCTGTCCCATTTTGCCCAGTTTGTATTTCTGTCAGCCCCTGCCTGTGCAGACAGACCCACCGTGGAGCTGGTTAAAGATGGACTCAATTATCGCAGCGATTATTGGGGAGGGCTGGGCCTGGCTGGGTGCCTGATGCCCCCAAAATCTGCCCCTGCCCTCCCTTAGGCTGGGCAGGGAACAGAACACGTAAAGAAAGGCTCCAGGGTCAGGATAAGAGCAGGGAGAGATCACTCGTGAGCATAACAGGCTCGACTTGAAGACATTAATAAAACTTATTATTTTGGGGGGTTAGGATACTTTTTGTGCTTTTTTTTGGTGGGGGGGGGTGGTTTTGTTTGTTTGGTCTTTTTGTTGTTTTTTCTTTTTTTTTCTCCTCTGCTACTTCGAAGAAAAGGCCATGAACTCCCACATTCCATGGGAATGACTCAGCCAGAGAAAGTACTCAACCATTCTATAGGAATGACTAGGCCAAAGAAAGTAGAGTTTGGAATTCTTTGCTGGGGAGTGAGCTTTCTGTCTGGGGGTTGTTTTTTCTTGGGAATTGCAGAAATCCTTTGAGGGATATTGGGGTGGACTCCGACTCTTGCCTGGGGGGTGGAGAGCTGATGTCCGGYGCTTTTGGTGCTGCTGGGGATCGGAGAGAGAGTGGGTGCCCGTTTCCTGAGACAGGGCTGTGCTGTAGCTTTCTCCCCTGGTCTGCCATCTTTTCATCATTCCTACGCAAAGAATTGTTTTTCCTTTTCCCAGATGTCTGCCTGAAAGCCCTGCAATTTCACAGTTAAAATCATTCAGAGGGAGAGGATCATCTCCATTCTGGGGAGTTTCTCACTTTCCTTGACAGACGCATGGCTTTTAAACAAAGACACTTATCAAACATAGCAGGAGAATTATTAGTTAAATAAATATTACAAAAACATCTCCCTCCTACTCCTTTCTCCTTCGAACTCTTCTCTTCATCCCCCATTCCCTTCCTCCTCCACCCCCAGTGCCACAGGGAATGGGGGTCTGAACTGGTTTGAACTGGGCCAAAATCCAAAACCACCCAATGACATTCCCTCTCCCGCACCGTAGAGGCAGAAGGGAGAGCAAAAACCCCTTTTTAAAAAATTATGGCATTCAGATTCAAATCGATGGCTTTCAGATAACATAATTGAGAGAAAGATACATATATGCTCCAACAAACAGTCAGACAGGCTGAATAACTTAGATTGTAAAATAGATTACTGACAATATTACCATACTGGGGAGGGGAACAAAGATATGGAAAAAAATTACAAGAAGAAAATAAAAAACTGACATTTAGAAACACCTGTTATTCTTTCTGGGGACCTGTCTCAGGTCGCTCCTCTCCATCCCCCATGCTTTCTGCATGCAAAAAGGGGCAGAGATGAAAGTCTAACATAGATCAAATTACTCATTACAGTTGTCGTCCAGCATCACAGGAGAAGCGTTCTTACACCTCCAAGCTGTGGAAGGTTTTTTCCCAAAAACAGTCAGTGTATAACTGCTGATGGCACGGGATTCTTTTCTTTACATCGTAGGAGAAAGGAAAGAATGTYCTTCAAGGCCAAACTGCGTTGTTTTGGCGGCGTAAGACCAACTATCACAAATCTCCTGGCAGAACACAGCTTCTTCTTAGCATCAACTCACTTCAGATGTGAGGGGGCCAAGCCTCTTCCCCCTTTTTTTGGCTTCTGATCAGTGCAGTCCTCAAAGGTCAGGATTTTTTTTTTTTTTCCTCAGAGTGAGGTCGCTCTCTTTTCTGTAATGGTCTCCCACTGAAGAAGTAGTCCTTTCGTCTTTTAGAGAACAACTTGTTTTCTCCATGTCCGACCACCACAGCAACTCATCCCATCTTCTTCTCCTCAATGTGATTTTGGGTCTCCATTTTTTTTTCTTCCATCTCCTCACCCTCCTGCTCTGTTTTTCCCCAGTGCATGATACTAAAACTACATACTAACAACCTAAAAACTACATGACAGTCCGCACTCTATCTTGTTCTGAATTCTTAAACACAAGATCATACACCCTCACAGAGGTGTAACCAGCCTGTGCAATTGGCCCAGACCTGGCCAGCAACCTCAGAGCCACAATGGATTGGCTCTAAAACTCAGGGTAAGGCTCCTTTTGCTGGAGAAGAAGGAGAAAGCTTCTAGAACATCCTCACAGGAGCCATCTTTGTGGTTTTTCAGTCCCATCTAACCACCACAATAAATTGGACCGAGTCAAACCAGGACAGGGTCACAATCAAGCCCTGTTACTTCCTCTCACTCAGGGGGAGGAATCCTTGTCTTGCTCTGCCCTGGGCTCCTGCGGGGGGGTCTCTGCTCCATCCTGGATTCATCCCCAGCTCCCAGCATCTTCAGCCCCAGGTCACACAGAACTCCTGCGGGTTCAGAGCAGCAGCAGTTCCATGGCCTCCAGCTGAGCACAGCAAGCTGTGACATTGCCTGGGAAAGCAGCACACTTTGAGGGGTGATTTGCACCTCACCCGGCTGATTCTGCCACCACTCTTTGTCCCTGAACGCTGATTGATCCGAATGGGGGACAGGAACGGGCCGGGTTAGTCCCACAACTCATCCTCAGCCCCACATCGCTTTGATTTCCCCCCCAAAAAAATGGGAAATGGCCCCAAATCCCTCAGGCAGGAGAAGGGGAGAGATTTCTCACCTCCTCCATGGCAGCTCTGAGGCTCCACCAGCTGGGATTGGACAGGGGGAGAAGGGGAAAGGATGGGGCTGCCAAGGGACACTGTGGCAGGACGTATCCCCCTCTCCCTCTCTCAAATCCGGCTGGCACGTGCAAGAGATAACCCAGGCTGGATCAAAGGGCCCAGCAGGAGTTATCCTTGACACCCGAGAGTCTCATCACCCGACCAGGAATCAACATCTTGGTATGAAGGGTAGTTATCAAGAGAGATGAAAGAAAATGATAACAGTGACCAAAAGTGTCAGTTGTGCTCTATAAAAGATGCACAAAATTTCTAAAAGGCAGAAGCCTCTCACATACTCACTGGAAGAGTGTGAAAGCCTCTCCTCAAAGTCCGGATGCAGACTTTGAGTTACTTCTCTGGGGCCTGAAGGAAAAGACTTCAATGCATACTCCCACCACCAACTGGATTGCTAAGATATACAGAATCCTAAGTTGTACAATTTCTTTGTCAGCTGAACTTATAGACACCTTTAGTGCCTGCTGCATTTTAAGCTTCATTTTAAAACTGCTGTACTTGGTCTATTAATGGTTTCTTTGATTTCTGTGCATTATATAATTTGCCGCAAACTCATTAGTCTGTTATTTTCTTGTGTCTAATAAGCAATAATTCATTTTATATTAGACCCAATCGGTTGTTATTAAAAGAACTAGGGAACAAGACTGGGTCCTGGAGCGCTGGTTGCCCTGATAAGCTCACTGCTGATTGCCAAAAGCCTGGGCAAAAGGAAGAAAACTATCTGAGCTCCCAACAGACACGAAGGATGGGGTGGGGACGGCACTTCACAAGTGTTAATTAACAAGTGACAGAATAAGATGGTATTCAATACCAGAACATCGCAGCCTCGGCATTATTAATGGCATGGCAGCGCTTTTCGGTGTTATATCCACGTGGTTATGTAAGTACACGTATAGTGACTTCATGAATGAAAACTTAGCATTTCAGACAAAATATGCTGACCTGGATAGCTCCAGGAGAAAGAAATGCACCTAGTGAAAGGCTCTAACATTCTCTCTTTCTGAGTGTTCATCTCCCAGAGACCGGGCTCTGAGGTGACCCTGAGAGCAAGCACTGAAGGGACCCTACAAAGTGACACACGGAGGTGACAAAGAGTGATTGTAAGGCAGAGGCTGTGGCAGAGGAAGGACATCCCCTTGCTGAGAGGAAGGAGGCAAAGCTGTGCCTGCTCAGTACAGAGGAGATGTTCCCTCCATGCCCTGCCACAGGTGAATTTGGGGTTTGCTGCAGACATAGGGCCGCGGATTTGAACAACTCCCACTCCCGAGGTGATTCTCAGCCAGGAACACGCACTCTGCATTGCCACGGACCTCGACCCTGCAGGGAGGAGCAGAGACAGTGCTGGAACTGCTGGGGGACACCTTGTGCCCCTGTGTCCCCATCCCCTCCCTGTGCCCCCCAGGCGCCCCAGGACTCACGAGGAGTTGAAGCTGCTGTTGCCATTCTCCCACTGCAGCTCCCGGCCCCGTCTGTGCATGCCGAGCCAGTGATCCTCGTTCCCACAGAGACGAAAGAAGAATTCCTGGAAAGGAGAGAGGAGTCGGCACTGGGAGCTGCACCCCCGGCCCAGGAGCTCCCAAGGATCCCCTCGGCTCCCCAAAACCCCTCACTCACCCTCTCATCATCCTGGAGCACGGCCAGGGAGGCCCCGAGCTCAGAGCACCGAGCCTGAGCCTGATCCCAGCTGAGCTGATCCCTCGAGAGGAAGTAGCAGATCCCACGATATCCGATCCACTCATGGGGACAGGCCAGCAGCACTGGAGTGTCAGGGGTAACTGGGGTAACTGGAGTAACTGGGGTAACTGGGGTAACTGGGGTCTCTCCACAGCTTCTCCCTGCAGGGGAAGAGGAAAAGCTCCGAGGATTCCCCTCCACATGGAGCAGGGACCCCGCTCTGCCCCAGGGGCTGAGGCAGCTGCCCCTCCCTTACCTGACACAACAGCCAAGGACACACCCAGAACCAGGAGCAGGAGCAGGAGCAGAATCAGCACCCCCAGGGTTATTTTGGGGTGGGATCTGATCCTCTCGAGTGCAGCTGCAAAAGCAGGACACAGACGCTGGCCGTGAGGACGGGGCTGTCCTGAGCAGGAGGGACCCCCAGCCCGTGAGCCCCTCACTCAGCTGGGAGCAGGAGAGACCAGGGACAGGGCCAGGGGACAAACAGGGACAGGGGACAGTTGGGGACATTTCACACAAGAGAACTGCCCAGTACCAGAGACCCCTTCCAGAGCCCTGGGAACAGCCCCAGCCGTGCCAGCCCTGGGCTCTGGGTGACACTGTCCCCTCCCTGTCCCTGCACTCACCCAGAAATCCTTTCATAGTCTTTCTGTGTGTGAATCCCACAGCTGATCCATTCTGGGCACACAGGAGCTCCTTCACAACCCCATGAGCAGAGCACAATTCACTCTTCTCCAGTTCACAGCTGGGATCCTTTTTGGCACAAAGAGCACCTCGCTCAGGGGACACCAGGAGTGCTGAGAAAGCCTTTTGGAGATCAGCCTCGGGCACAGTTTGACAAGGAGGATCGCAGGTTAAGAGACCCATGAGGGATCCGGGCTGCTCCGGGCTCAGGAGGGCTCAGGAGGCGCTGCCGGCTCAGCCCTGCCCTGTCCCTGCTCCCCGCAGATCGGTGGTGACACAGAAGCGACGCTCCTGTGGCTGTCACCGAGCCCCAGGAATCCCCTCCGAGGCGGAGCCTCCGCTCAGCAAACGCTGCCGGGACAGAGAGAAAGCTCTGAGCTCCTGAGCTCCGATCACAAAGGGAGCGGCTCCACCCCCGCCATTCCATTCCCGTTCTGCCCTCGGCACCGGCACAGGAAGGGACAGCAGCGATTTTGGGCACAGGCAGGGATGGAATGTATGGATGGGTTGGCTCAGCACCACAAACAGCAATGGAATCATGAGGAAGGCAACGACAGCAGCAGCGCTGGCACCGTAACACAGCCGGGGTCACACACGGCCATGGCACAGCATCACAGAATCCTCGCAGTTGGATGGGACCCACGAGGATCATCCAGTGCAACCCTTTGGGAATGGTCCCTGTGGGGTCACATCCCAACCTGGCACTGCTGGCACCTTGTCCCACCCAAGGGACATCGCTGTGGCAGCACAGGTGTCCAGGCAATACAGAAACGGTTCAATGAGCATAGAAATACAGGGCTGGGTATGAACATGCAGTGCCAGGGACACAGGGTGAGTTCTGGGATGGTTCCAGAAGGACAAAGAAACCCCCAGCCCCAGCCCCGGCAGGCACACAGCAGCTTCCACATCATCTCCTGCTCCTGGAGGTTCATCTCCTGCAGAGCGGGCACTGAGGGGACTGAGGTGACAAAAATCAACCCCTGAAGGGGCTCAGGATTGTCCCCGGCATTCCCTGCCCTGGCGGCTCTGAGCCCGGGCACAGCGAGCGCTGGCAGCGCCCTTTCGCTGATAAGGTCTGATAACGGAGTGAGGCGACTCCGGCCAGGAAAGGCGGAACTCGGCTCCGCCCCCGGGGAGGCGGGAGGAGAATCCGTTCCACAGCCCGTCCCGCCCCTCCCGCCCCGAGCGAATCGGAGCGCGGCTGTTTCTGTTCCCGAGGGTTTTGTGTTGCGAGGGACGCTCAAACTCATCCCGTCCCAACCCATTCCCTGTCCCGGACTCCTCCCTCACCGGGCTCCGGTCACTGTCCCCTCACCGGGCTCCGGTCACTGCTGTCCCCTCACCGGGCTCCGGTCACTGTCCCTCACCGGGCTCCGGTCACTGTCCCCTCACCGGGCTCCGGTCACTGCTGT